AATAATAATAATAATAATAATAATAATAATAATAATAATAATAATAATAATAATAATAATAATAATAATAATAATAATAATAATAATAATAATAATAAAGGTGGAAGGGACCTTGGAGGTCATCGAGTCCAACTCCCTGCCCAGGCAGGAACCCTACACCATTTCAGACAAACGGCTGTCCAGTCTCTTCTTAAAAACTTCCAGTGTTGGAGCATTCACCGCTTCTGGAGGCAGGTTGTTCCACTGGTTAATTATTCTGTCAGGAAATTTCTGCTTAGTTCTAGGTTGCTTCTCTCCTTGATTAGTTTCCATTCGTTGCTTCTCGTCCTGCCTTCAGGTGCTTTGGAGAATAGCTTGACTCCCTCTTCTTTGTGGCAGCCCCTGAGATATTGGAACACTGCTATCATGTCATCCCTAGTCCTTCTCTTCATTAAACTAGACATACCCAACTCCAGCAACCGTTCCTTATATGTTTTAGCCTCCAGTCCCCTAATCATCTTTGTTGCTCTTCTCTGTACTCTTTCTAGAGTCTCAGCATCTTTTTTACATCGTGGTGACCAAAACTGGATGCAGTATTCCCCATCCAAACTCTTAAGAGTCATCAGCCCCAGGGAAGCAGGATATGATCTTTGGACATAATAAGATTGACCCATTACCATCAGAATACCAGAAAGGCACATTCAGACTCAGGTCAAAGTTCATGCCACAGCAACAACTCCAAACAAAAGGCTACAAAGGGTATAAAAACCTACTCCCTACACGTGTCCAGCCCTTTTTTTCCCCACTTCTCTTGCTGCTAGAACTATCTTCCTGTCTGGCTCTCCTCTCCCAATAAACTAGAACCTTCTTCCCAAAGCAGTTGCCATGTTTATTCCCAGCTTGGGTGAACCACGATGAAGACCTTTCTTCCAGCAACATTAAACAATGTGGGGAAGGGGGAGCATGAGGATGCTGCTGCCCGGAGTGTGCACAGGACAAACCAGACGCGCGTGACCCAGATTTTTTTCGGAGGCGCGTGGATATCGAGGGAGCCAGCAGAGGGCTCCGGCTTGCCGATTTCCAGGGTTTTGGGGCTGCGGTCTTCCCACTCACCTCTTTTTTTCGCCGGATGTATCCGGGGTTGAGCTTCCTGGGTCGGGAGGTGGCGGCTGAAGCCCGAGTGATCAGGGCATCCCACCTCCCAAAAGAGAAGAGCCGGAGCTGCTCCTCCTCCTCCTTCGGAGCCGTCGGCGACCCCTCGTAAGCGGGGCAGCGGGGCTTACAGACGGCTGCAAATCCCAGAGCAGGAACAGCTGGAGACTCCGGAGCTTAGAAGAAGTTTGGACAATTAGAAGGGAAAAACCAGGTTCTCTCCGGTGGGAGAAGAGGAATTGCCCCGAAAGGAGCAGCCAGGGGACGGAGGCAAAGCTGGAAGCCGGCTGACTTCCTCGAGAGTGAGTCCTGTTGAATTCAGGAGTGAAAAGTAGGGAATTCCTTGCAGGATCCAGCCACTCATCTCCTCATCCTTGGTTCCTCCGGCGGCCAGCCATGCCCCTTCTGGGAATGCCTGAGCGGCAGGTCAAAGGAACCCATTTTTTCCCTGCTGGACGTCCTTTGTGACTGATTTCAGAGGTAGCTTGCCTTTGGATATGGAAGCTCTACACCGCCACCTTGAGAGTGAGGCATCGATAACTTCCCATCTTCCATTCTACCTTAGTCGCTTCTTGTGGGTGTGAATTCTGTAAGTTGATTATACACTGTGTGAAAAAATGCTTCATTTCATTGAATCCCTGGGGTTTCTCCATTTCTCCTATATGGGCAGCTTTCTTAGGACCTATAGCAAAGGTTCATTTACTGCTAGGAAGCATAATGCATTGCTATAACTTACCTTTCTTCCTCCAGTTAGTCTGCCAATCAGCCTTTCCCTAGTAGTGGGTGCCTTTCAGAAGAGTTGAGCTTGCAATGGGTTTGCACAGCAAGCTTAAACCTGGTCAACCAAAAAACCTACCCTCAGCTTGGCTAATTTTAACCATGATTAGTTTGGGGATGGATTAGTAGGTTGTGCCAGCCCAGCTCATTTGTTGGTGGTTGAATGTATACTCTACACCCAGAAAATTAAATTAAATTTATTATGCTGTCCATCTTGCAGTTTGAGGCGATTCTCAGCGGCTTAAAGTATAATAAAACATACAGCTATAAAAACAATAAATATAAAAACAAGATTAAAATGATAAAAAGATTAAAACAAACTAAAAAAACAACCACATTGATTTGAATTCCCATCCACACAGGCAGAGGAGAATCTAGTGAAATACTGGATGGTGCCCTCTTGGAGAAAGCTGCTATACTAATTAATCCCTGTCCCTGCAATTAATAGGCCACTAGCTTAAAATCAATTAAGAAAAAAGGCCAAGCAATTACATGGCGTGTACAGCTAAATAAACATGACATGCCAAGCCATAAGCTGGGTGGGGTCCACATGCAAAGCCAAAGCGTGACTGGGTACTTTATGGTTCATGATATTGTGTAAACCAAGGCAACAGGGTTAGTTTATGAACCATAATTGGGAGGTGTGTGAACACAGTCATAAAGGGTTTTGTCCAGTTGCACTTCAGTGTGCTGTGTACAGGTAGTGCTCAACTTAACAACTGTTTATTTAGCGATCATTCCCAGTTACAATGCCACTGAAAAAAGGGACTTATGACGGGTTTTCACACTTATGACCACGGTCATGTGATCCAAATTTCAAGGACTTGGCAACTGGCATTAATTTGCAATGCTTGCAGCATCCTGAGCCTTGTGATGATCACTTGTGACCTTCCCAGCCAGCTTTTGGCAAGCAAAGTGAAAGGGGGGGGAGGGAGGTGGATTATTAATGACCACACTTGACAACTGTGGCAAAAAGCTCATAAAAAATCAGGTGTGACTCAGTTAACAACCAACTTGCTTAGCAACAGAAATTCTGGCCTCAATTGTGATCATGTTGAGGATTGCTTGTCAACATAATCCCTCTATTTCAGCCCCGCAGGCCTGATGCATCCTAGCGAAACCATGCCCACCCCATTGCTGGTAATGGCAAAAAAGTCACGATACGTCGCGACACGTCACGTGACGTTGCGAGTCTGACACCCCTGCTCTATTTGATTTGGTAAACAAAGGTTCAGCAAAATATGGCCTCATGCAGCATAAGGAACTCAGTTATCCACTGCAATCTGCAAGAGTAAGGCTAGATTTAGATTTTAATAACATGCCCCAGGGCTTCATTTTTGCTCTTATTTCCTTATGGAAGAGAAAGTCCATTTGTACTCAGGCTCCCTCCCTGTTGTCTGGGAGCAAAATCCTGCCACATGTGACCTCTGTAGTCCAAATCTTGAAGTTCCTAGTCTTCGGCTGCGTAACCCAATCATAACACACAACACTGTGTAACACAACAGGCTTCTTCTCTCTGTCCTGCCACTTGGCTCAGTATGCAGGATGTTGTCGTTTCAGGGGTTTGTCATTTCATATTCACAGAACCACCTGATCCCCAACGTCATGCAGGAAAACTATGAGAACGTGATCTCACTGGGTGAGTAGCTTGTCATCCACCAGGGTGTTGCTATGCCGTCTCTCCTGACATTGCTCCTGGCCTTAATCCATTGCTGCAATTTCCACCCAACAGTTCAGTTTTGGAAGTGGCCAGCCTCTTTCCTTATCTAAAGGAAATAGATAAGCCAGACTTAACATTTTGGCAAGGGGAGGGGGGCTTGGATTGATTGAACGATGCAGTACAGTTGGTTTATTGGTGGGGAGAGATTCCTTGATTTTTATTAAATTGTGATATGCCTATCTGTTTATGGCCGCAATCCTGGTTGGAAGAGACTCCGAGGGCTGCCAAAGGTAGCCAGATATGTTGTTGGGCTGTCCCATGAGATGACACAAAAGTGACACCTCCTGTGGACACCCTTGCTTGAGGCTAAAGGTACCCACCTCTGATCTAAACACTAATATTATTTGGCCTGCATTGCCATAAGCCTGGAGCTTCTTAGAATAAAGTTCTTCCTGTCTTCTGCTATCTACTCTTTTAGCTAGGAACCGCCAGGACTTGAACTCGTGATTGCTTGCATGTAAAATCTTTGAACTCACTTAAATCTGAAGTGGGTATCTTAATGGTTGTGGAACCAATGCAGAATAGGATTAGGGCACTGGACCAGGTTCAGGCCAGGTTCAAAATTCCCACTCGATCATGGGGCCCACTGGCTATCCTTTAGCCAGTCCCTCTTTCTTTCCAACCAGTTTCACAGATTTATTATTGTAGGCATCAAATGAAGGAAATATCTCATGTTTGACTCCTTGGTGTGGTGTGCCTTGATGTCTTCTGACCTGCAACCTCCATTTCTCCCACCTGCAGCGGAGGAAATAGCAATCAGTTGGCCTAGGATAACTGCCTTTGCTGAAACTCACAGAAGAAGAGGACTGGGGCCTGGTAGGTCTGCAGGGAGGAGCAAGACTCTCCCTATCTCTGAATAAATGCTCAAATTCCCTGGAATCTGAATCCCTCTATCCCCTATAACAGGGGTCTTCAGACTTGGCCCTTTTATGACTTGTGGACTTTAACTCCCAGAATTCCTCAACCAGGCACGCTGGCTGAGGAATTCTGGGAGTTGGAGTCCACAAGTCATAAAAGGGCCAAGTTTGAAGACCCCTGCCCTATAATTAGAGTAGTGGTTAAGGCACTAAGCTAGAAACCAGGTGACCATGAGTTCTAGTTCCACCTTAGGCATGAAAGTCAGCCGGTGACTTTGTGCCAGCCACTCTCTCTCTCTCTCTCAGCCCAACTGATTTCACAAAGTGGTTGTTGTGGGGGAAAAATAGGAGGAAGAATGAGTATTATGTATGTTCACTGCTTTGAGTTATTTATAAAAATATAATAATAAGGAAGGGATGTATTTTACCCTGAGATCACTATCCTAGGTTAAGGCCATTTCTGGATTTTATTCTTGGAAAAGGAACTTTCCCCCCAGTCATATTTTTTGTAATGCCATGAAGAGCTTTCGCCTCACAATCATCTGTCAGCCACATGGACGTTGTATCTAAAGTGGGAGGAAAGGCAGTGTGCAAACGCAAATTGTATGACTGCAACATTAGTGGATTGCAACAGCAATTAGGTCAGAACAATTTTTCCGAACCCTAGGCCAGGGGTAGGCAACCTTGGTTCTTTTATGACTCGTGGACTTCAACTCCCAGAATTCCTGAGCCAGCATGGCTCAGCTTGGAAACCTCTCCCTTTCCCCTCAGCATGGCTGGCTCAGGAATTCTGGGAATTGAAGTCCACGAGTCATAAAAGAGCCAAGGTTGACTACCCCTGCTCTAGGCCCTTCAGGCATACGACTTCCATAATTCTCACCCTGCACAACCCTTGGATGCCCTGGTTGGGAATTATTGGCGTTGTTGTCTGCCACATTTGGAAAACATCAGGTGGAAGATGCTATGCTAATTCAATTGGCAAGGATCCTGCCCCCTCGGTATCCTGTTGCTCTTGTGTTTGACTGACATTTGGAAATAAGGTTTGCTGACCTTTGTAGTTATTTCTCTATAGACAACTTTATACCCATAGCATTTTTTTTTTCTTCCCTTCAATCGTGTCCAATTCTTGCAGACTCTGGACAAGCCCCTGCAGTTTTCTTGGCAAGCTTCTTCAGAAGTGGTTTGCCATTGCCTCCTTCCTACGGCTGAGGGAAAGTGACTAGCCCAAGGTTGCCGACTTAGCTTTGTGCCTTAGGTGAGGACTAGAACTCACAGTCCCCAGTTTCTAGCCTGTCGCCTTCACCACCACGTGAAACAGGCGCTCTATCCAAAGCATGTCCATTCCTAATAACTATGCTCTGAAAAGCTTTTCTGGCTGATTTGTACACGAAGCAGCCATTAAGGCACTAGGGCAGTTCAGCCCTTTTTCCCTAGCTCAGTGGTTCTCAACCTTTTTAATGCCGCGACCCCAACCGGTCGTAAGTCGAGGACTAAACCGGTCATAAGTCAAGGACTAAACCGGTCGTAAGTCGAGGACTACCCAACCGGTCGTAAGTCGAGGACTTTCCCTGCCCGGGAGCGCCGCACATGCGTGGTTCCGCCCCCTGCGCCGGCCAAGGCGTAGCTGGCAAACGGCAGAGACGGAGCAGGCCGACCACCAGCTGGCCCAGCCCAAGGGAGGTAAGGCACCCGCCGGAAAAGGGGGAAAAAATGGCGGACAAAAAAAATGGCGGACAGCCTTGCTTGGCGACCCCCATGAAATGGTCGATCGACCCCAAATGGGGTCCCGACCCACAGGTTGAGAACCACTGCCCTAGCTGGAGCGGTTGGCAAAGCTACGCAGGAACTCCCTGTTTGCATTGTGTCTCTGTGGTGCAGTCATGGAATCTGAACGGAGCCAAGCACCGCAGGCCCCGACGCAGAATCAAGCAGCCGGGCCAAGCGAAAGTGGACTCAATGCTGACCTCCGTCGCCAGCTGGGCTTCATCCTGCAGACGGCTGGCCGGAGCCAAGTGGAGAAGATGCTGCGGGAGCTGGTGAAAGAGCAGAGCCAGGAAGGGAAGCGGAAAGCAAGGAAGAAGGCACCTAACAGCCTCAGAGATGAAGGTGAGCTGGCCTCCTGGCGGGAACTGTGGGGATGCTGAGAATGAAGGGGAATGACACTGTGTGTGCAAAGTAACAGGAGAAGCATCTACAGAGGGAGTCAAGCTGGAACAGATTAGGTCAAACGTGGCTTAATAGCTGTGTGAGGGATCTTGGAGTCCTAATGGACAATCAAATAATAATAATAATAATAATAATAATAATAATAATAATAATAATAATAATAATAATAATAATAATAATAGCAACAACAACAATAATAATATTGATGGTGATGGTGATGGTGATGGTGATGATGATGATGGAAGGGACCTTGGAGGTCATCTAGTCCAACCCCCTGCTCAGGCAGGAAACATACTATTTCAGACAAATGGCTGCCCAGTCTCTTCTTAAAAACTTCCAGTGTTGGAGCCTTCACAGTTTCTGGAGGCAAATTGTTCCACTAATTAATTGTTCTAACTGTCAGGAAGTTTCTCCTTAGTTCTAGGTTACTTCTCTCCTTGATCAGTTTCCATCCATTGCTTCTTGTCCTGCCTTCAGGCGCTTTGGAGAATAGCTTGACTCCCTCTTCTTTGTGGCAGCCCCTGAGATATTGGAACACTGCTATCATGTCCCCCCTTGTCCTTCTCTTCATTAAACTAGACATACCCAATTCCAGCAGCTGTTCATTATATGTTTTAGTCCCCAATCCCCTAATCATTTTTGTTGCTCTTCTCTGTACTCTTTCTAGAGTCAGCAATTTGTGGCAGCAGCCAAAAAAGCCAGCACAATTCTTGGTTGCATTATCAAAGGGATAGACCAGTGGTGGGATTCAGCTGGTTCACACCAGTTCGGCAGAACTGGTAGCTAATTTTTTGTTGCCCAGGCCCAGAGTGGACTTCCGGAAGCAGCATCGACACAGAGAACCGGTTGTTCACATATTTGAATCCCACCGCTGGGATAGACTCAAGATCACATGAAGTACTAGTACCTCTTTACAAGCCTTGAGACTCTGGAAAGAGTGCAGAAAAGAGCAGCAAAGATGATTATGGGTCTGGAGGCTAAAACATATGTAGAACGCATATTGCCTTCCTCTTTGCCCTTTCCTTGGACAATTCAGGGGGTTCCAGGCCTGAACTGATAGAACTACCCCATTCTGGACTTTTAATTTTGTGGAGGATGGATTATTGCTAAATAAACAATTATACCAAGGGGAACAGCAGGGCCCATAGTCATGTGGACGGTGACAGTGGGAGTTAGGGCAGCGATTCTTGGAATAAAAATTGTGATGTTGCAATCATCTTTCTATTTTTGAAAAAAAAAAATCCTGAAATTGGTATGTATAAGTGTGTGTGAGAAAGTAAAAGACTAGTTGTTTTTTTTCCCTGTAAAGCTGTGACTTTGAGCTGTGACTTTTGGAACAACCCCAGTGAGGAAGCCTATGCTATATTCTCCATTCTGAGGGAGAATATTGTCAGATTTGAGAACTGCCTCCTAATGTACCATCACTGCTTCAGGGCAGAATTAGTTATTTCTGGAGGAACTATGGAACAGATGAGCTAAGGGACCAGAGCAATGAGTAGCGTTTGAAGAAGGGACTGATCATGTTGCGTTGTGTTTCACTGGAATGCCTTTTATCCCTTGTAGTTGGCTATATGGACTGGAGTAGGTAAAGGAGTCCCTGCAGATTCCAATCCACTGATTGTAACTGACTATAGGGGGTGGTGCTCATCTCCATTTCGAGGGCCATTGAGCCAGTGCTGTCTGAAGACGTTTCTGTGGTCATGTGGCCACAGAACGCTGTTACCTTCCCACCAAAGTGGTACCTATTTATCTATTCGTGTTTGCATGCTTTTGAAGTCTAGGTTCACAGGAGCTAGGGTGATGACGGGAGCTCACCCTGTCGTACAATGCTTGGGTCTCAAACCTGGGCTGTCTGCTTTCTAAACAACAAGCCCAGCACCTTAACTGCCAAGTCATCGCAGCATCCCTGAACTAGGGTATAAAATCTGTGCTGAAAAAAAGACACTAGAAATCAGGGCTAGGCAACCTTGGCTCTTTTATGACTCGTGGACTTCAACTCCCAGAATTCCTGAGCCAGCCATGCTGGCTCAGGAATTCTGGGAGTTGAAGTCCACGAGTCATAAAAGAGCCAAGGTTCCCTAGCCCTGCACTAGATGGTAGCATGGAAACCCAGAAAATTATCTTTGCTTGTGGCTAGTGGTGATCTGGATTTTTTGCAGCCCTCTTTTGTCTCTGGGGATGATGGAACTAATAGGTGGGCCACTCCCAAAGCCCTGAAGGATGTCTCTTTGAGAAAACTAATCATTTGGAGTTCAGTTGGTCCTGCTTCTTCTTATCTTCCTATTTCTATTTCAGCTGCTGGGGAGAATGAAGAAGAGCTGCAGCCAGAACAAGACCGTGTGGAGAAGGAGGCACCGCCATCAAGGAGATCTATCAGCCCAGATGAGGCTTGTGCAAGCAGCAATTGGGGCCCGCAGAGCCTAGAGGACCAACAGCCTCCTCAAGACTCTGCTGTGCATCAGCAGGAAGGGAAGAATTCCGACAGCCACAGGCATCTGGAAAAGTCGGGGGTGTGTGGGGAGCGTGGGAAGAAAAGCATGAGTGGTAATGGTCGAGGCCATGGCATGCCCACACCAGAAAAACCACACCAATGCACCAAGTGTGGACGTTGCTTCCGGCAACACTCCATCCTGGCTAAGCATCAGAAGATCCACACTGGGGAGAAGCCCTACCTATGTGTGGCTTGTGGCAAGCGATTCAACCGCAGCTCCAACCTGGTGCAGCACCAGCGCGTGCACACAGGGGAGCGTCCCTTTCCCTGCACAGCCTGTGGCAAGGCTTTCACCCAGAAATCGGATCTGGAGCGTCATCAGCGGGTGCACACAGGGGAGCGGCCATACGCCTGCCAGGAGTGTGGGAAATGCTTCTCCGTCAGCTCCCACCTTGACCGGCACAAGCGCACCCACCAAGACAACCCTCAGGAGCAGCCATCGGCCGCCCCTCTAGTCCCTGCTACCCACTACTGTCCCGACTGTGGGAAATGTTTCAGACATCGCTCTTCTCTCTCTAAGCACCGTAAGACCCATTTGGGGGAGCGCCCTTACCCCTGCAGTGCCTGTGGCAAGCGGTTCAGCCGCAGCTCCAACCTGGTACAGCACCAGCGCATTCACACGGGGGAGCGCCCGTTCCCTTGTGCCGACTGTGGCAAGAGATTCATCCAGCGTTCTGACCTGGAGCGACACCAGCGGGTGCACACCGGGGAACGGCCCTATACCTGTGCCCAGTGCGGCCAGAGTTTTTCCGTGAGTTCCCATCTGGACCGGCACCAGAGAGTCCATCAAGCCTTTGCGGCGGCTGCAGCTGCCCATTGCTGCCCCAAACATGTTAAAGGGTTCCTCCTCAGCAGTGGGGCCAAGCAGACCCTGAAATACCAGCCGTACAGCGGCAAAGGACGTCTCACTCGCAGCAGCCAATGCTTGGACTGTGGGAAGAGCCTGAGCAAGCTTCCCACTCAGCCGCCGGGGCTTGTGGTGGAGAAGCCCTACAAGTGTGAGGGTTGTGGGAAGGCCTTTGCCCAGCGCTCAGTGTTGATGAAGCACCAGCGCATCCACACCGGCGAGAAGCCTTTCTCGTGTGGGGAGTGTGGCAAGGGCTTCATCCAGAAGTCGGATCTGACCATCCACCAGCGCATGCACACCGGGGAGAAGCCGTATCGCTGTGACACCTGTGGCAAGTGCTTTAGTGTCAGTTCCAACTTGCTGACTCACCAGCGCACCCATCTGGGGGAGAAACCCTACGCCTGTGGGGAGTGTGGGAAGGCCTTCGTCCAGCACTCGGAGCTGACCATCCACCAGCGCACACACACTGGGGAGAAGCCCTACAAATGCAGTCTCTGCAGCAAATGCTTCAGCCGCAGCTCTCACTTGAACCGTCACCGGCGCACCCACGGTGGCCAGAAGGACTCACCTGGTCCAGTCCCTTCCCCACTGCTTGCCCCCAACTCCCGCAAGCCAGCCATTCCTCTGCCCACCTCCCTCTTCTCCACCTCCTTTTCGTCTTCCAGCCCTCTCCCTCCCTTACCTGCCTTCCCTTCCTCGCCCTCCCCTCTTCCCTTTCCTGCTTTGGAGCTGTCTTGGACCCTCCCCTTTCCATCCCAGGGTTTTCCCCATCCAGCCTACGTGCCCCCTGCTCCAGACACAGCCCAGGCTTCTCTCATCAACTAATTTTTCCCTCTTCCAGCCTCTTCTCCTCCTCGTGTCCTCCTTCACTTCCTTCTAGCTGCTCTCCCAAATTCTTTCTGGTTTTGCTTCTTCCTTCTCCCTCCCTGTCGATTGAGCTTCGGTCTCTGTTTCCCTGCTCCAAATGATTTTCACTGGCTACCCAGGATGAAGCTGGAAAGGAGAAGCAGGTAGAAACAGGGAGTGTGCATCACAGTGAAGCAGATGGCTCCAGGGCTGCATAACAGAGGGGCTCAACCCTTTCCTTCTTGCTGCCTTCTGCATTGTTGTGAGACAGTGTCAAACTCTCCGTCCTCCCACCAGGACTAGAACCCCCTGGGTACCAGCTTGGCTGGAAGAGAAAGAGGAAGTTGGCAGCTGCAGTAGCAAGGATGCTGGTAAGCCTTGTCAGGTTGGGAGGGGGACATTAGCAGCTTGCCCGATGATACCAGCCCGGTCATCTGAACTGTCCCTACTCTAGAATATTTAATGGTCACTCCTCTCTTTCTAGCTAACCTTGTCTATGCATCTGGCAAGACAAGAAAGAAGGAGTCACCATATGGTACAATATCCTGTCCCTTTGCAGAATGCATGGCA